AGCCCAGGCCACCTGGTTTCCCTCGCAGCCCCACCTCCAAACCCGTACATCACTGCAGTGCCCCTCCCAGCATGCCCCGCCCATTCTTAAGCATTTTTCAAAGTTGAGCCAGGGCTGGAGTTAGCTGAACATATGGGGGTAGATTTTGAAAATCGGTGGAATGTCTCTTTAAAGATATGAGTCAATATCCACTGAGGAACCTTTAAGAGTGCGCACTAGATCTATTTAGTATAACTACATTGAAATGAATTCAAACCAATTTGCTGGATACGAGAAACGATGAGTTCTTTTTGGTTAAAAATCGCAGCAAGTGAAGCCAACGCAGAGCCATCCATACAGACAGCTGCTGTAAACTGAAGGCTGAGCTCCTCGTTTGTACAGTGTGCGGCATCTGGGCCTCTGTTTGTAGAGCGGAGCACTGAAAGGAGCTTGAAGCTCCTTCAGATCCGTCGTCTTTACGGCCCGTGTGTTTGCACCTCATACGGGTCAGTTCCCCGGCGCTGGGAGAGCACGTGTGAGTGGAGTTTGTCACGGATGTTGGTCGGTAGAATAACAGATAACAGGTCGTGTTTGATTTACTGTTTCCTGAGAAACAGGAAAACCAACAATAGACACAAAGAATGTATTTAAGAGGAAAAAAAAGCCCTGCCATTTTCTTACGGGAAAGTCAGCATTTATATGACGCAGCGGTTTCATCAGGGAATGAAATGAGAATGAAATTCTATATCAGGGGTGCCTGGGCTTTTTGTCTTTGATGCCACAGTGCATTGTTTGTGGTGGCCCAGAGGCCAGAAAGTCTAAACAATGCACAAATAAAGACGGTGGGCAGGTTTCAAATGCAGATTTTAAAAAAATGTATTTTCTAACATCACACTGTGAACTGTATACACTACAAACACATAACACTAAATGCTTCAGTAGTAAAACTTTAAAATGAAAATAAGAATTTAGTACATTATTTATAGAATAAAACCTGTTTGTTCTCTTACGGGGTGAAAGGATGGGGTTAGGGTAACTCTCTGGCCACATTACAGCAGTAGTAAAAGTAGTAGTAGTCGATGTAATAGCTGTTGTAATAAAGCAAGTAGCAGCTGAAGTAATAGTGGTAGTAGAACTGTTAAAAGTAATTCTGAGAGTAGTTACACTTGCACAAGTAGTAGCAGTAATCATATGTAGAAGAATTAGTAATAGTAATAGAAGTAGTAGTAGTAGAAGTAATGGTAGTAGTATAAATAGTTGTGGAAGAAGAAGTAATAGTAGTAGTAATAAAGGTAGTAGTTGAAGTACTAGTGGTCAGAGGAGTAGAAAGAGAGGTAGAAGTAGTAGCTGTAGAAGCAGATGTAGAATAGAAGTAGGAAGTAAAAGTAAAGGTAATATTAGTGTTCATAAAAGTAGGAGTAGAACTTGAGGTAGTAACATTGTCACAGAAGTAGGAGCAGAAGTAGAGATAGTAACAGTGTTTGTAGAAGTAGGAGTAGAAGTTGAGGTAGTAGGGGTCATAGAAGTAGTGGTAGTAATGAAAGTAAAGGTAATATTTGTAGAAGTAGGAATAGAAGTAGAGGTAGTGGTAATGATTGTAGAAGTGTGAGTGGAGGTAGAGGTAGTAGTAGCGGTTGTAGAAGTAGGAGTAGTAGTAGAGGTAGTGTTAGTGCTTGTAGAAGTAGGAGTAGAAGTAGGGGTAGTAACAGCGCTTGTAAAAGTAGTAGTAGAGGTAGTAGTAGCAGTTGTAGAAGTAGGAGTCGAAGTCGTGGTTGAAGAAGTAGGAGCAGAAGTAGAGATAGTAGTGGTTGTAGAGGTAGAAATAGAAACTGATGTAGCAGGAGGGGTCATAGAAGTAGTGGTGGTAATAGCAGTAGATGTAATATTTGTACAAGTAGGAGTAGAAGCAGAGGTAGTAGTAGTGATTGCAGAAGGAGGAGCAGAAGCAGAAGTAGTAACAGTGTCTGTACAAGTAGGAAATAGTAGAAATAGTAGTTGTAGTAGCAATTATAGAAGTTGAGCTAGGATTAGTGGTTGTAGAAGTAAGAATAGAAATGGAGGTAGTAGTAGTAGTAGTTGTAGAAGTAGACGTAGTAGTAGTGATTGTAGAAGTAGAGGCAGTAATACTGCTTGTAGAAGAATGAGTAGAAGTAGAGGTAGTAGTAGTGGTTGTAGAAGTAGAGGCAGTAATACTGCTTGTAGAAGTAGGAGTAGAAGTAGAGGTAGTAGTAGTGGTTGTAGAAGTAGGAATAGAAGTAAAGGTAATGGTAGTGCTTGTAGGGGCAGAAATAGATCGTAGTGGGGTTATAGAATCAGTAGGAGAAGTAGAGGTAGTGGTAGTGGCTGAAGAAGTAGAGGCAGTAATAGTGCCTGTAGAAGTAGAGGTAGTAGTAGTGGCTGAAGAAGTAGAGGCAGTAATAGTGCTTGTACAAGTTGGAGTAGAGGTGGAGGTAGTAGTAGTGCTTGTAGGGGCAGAAATAGGTCAAAGCGGAGTCAGAGAATCAGTAGGAGAAGTAGAGGTAGTAGTCGTGGTTGTAGAAGTAGGAATAGAAGTAGAGGTAGCAGTAGTAGTTGTAGAAGTAGAGGCAGTAATAGTGCATGTAGAAGTAGGAATAGAAGTAGAGGTAGCAGTAGTAGTTGTAGAAGTAGAGGCAGTAATAGTGCATGTAGAAGTAGGAGTAGAAGTAGAGGTAGCAGTAGTGGTTGTAGAGCTGAAGGAGAGGTAGTAGTGGGGGTCATAGAATCAGTAGGAGAAGTCGAGGTAGTAGTAGTGCTTGTAGAAGCAGGAGTAGAAGTAGAGGTAGTAGTAGTGGCTGAAGAAGTAGAGGCAGTAATAGTGCTTGTAGAAGTAGGAGTAGAAGTAGAGGTAGTAGTAGAGGTTGTAGAGATGAAGGAGAGGTAGTAGTGGGGGTCATAGAATCAGTAGGAGAAATCAAGGTAGCAGTAGTGGTTGTAGAAGCAGGAGTAGAAGTAGAGGTAGCAGTAGTGGTTGTAGAAGCAGGAGTAGAAGTAGAGGTAGCAGTAGTGCTTGTAGAAGCAGGAGTAGAAGTAGAGGTAGCAGTAGTGCTTGTAGAAGCAGGAGTAGAAGTAGAGGTAGCAGTAGTGCTTGTAGAAGCAGGAGTAGAAGTAGAGGTAGCAGTAGTGCTTGTAGAAGCAGGAGTAGAAGTAGAGGTAGCAGTAGTGGTTGTAGAAGCAGGAGTAGAAGTAGAGGTAGCAGTAGTGGTTGTAGAAGCAGGAGTAGAAGTAAAGGTAGCAGTAGTGGTTGTAGAAGCAGGAGTAGAAGTAGAGGTAGCAGTAGTGGTTGTAGAAGCAGGAGTAGAAGTAGAGGTAGTAGCAGAGGTCATAAAAGTAAGACTTGTGCTAAAGTATGAAGAGAGCAGGAATGAAGGAAGAAAAAGAAAATGGAGGAGGAAGAGGGAGGGGGAAATGAGCACATCCTGAATTCCCCTGGGGGTCTCCCAGTCCTGCAGGACCCCCAGCTCTAATGACTGAGAGGCCCTGGAGCACAGGAGCCTTTATTTAGTTCCTGCATTAGAGCACAAATGAACTAAGACCAACATTAGACCCACATTAGCCACATTAGAACAGAGCAGCTTCAGCACAGCAGGCCGGCGTCACTGCCTCAGGGTCAAACACGCCAGATAGAGGAGACGCTTTGACACGGACCTTCAGAGAACAAGACGGAGTATCAAACACAAGGCAGCCACACACAGAGCGAGGACGAGGAGGACGGAGTGATCGCTGTAGAAACGTAACAGCTAGAATCGTATTTAGACTCTATATAGAGCAAAAAAAGCCAGGAGAACTGCAGTGGAACATCAGCAGAGCGAGTGAAGCTGGTTAGACTCTGTTCTTCTCCTTTCGGCCTAAAATAAACACTAAGCTCCAGGAGCTGCAGAATGACATTCATTTAAGGCTGCGTTCACATTACCAGGCTGAAGTGGCACAAATCCGATTTTTTGCCCTAATGTGACTCAGATCTGATGTTTTCAGAGCTGTGTGGACACAAATCTGATCTTTTCAAATCCGACCTGAGTCACTTTCATATGTGGTCCTAGATCGGATACGTATCCGATTTGTGGCCATGCGACCTTAATGTGACGCTCAGATCGGAATTCATGTGCTTTTTTTCCACTGCGCCATCATTCAGCGTTACCATGGCAGCAGCGCCGAACAGAAGTTAAAGCCTGTAAACGGTGGAAAAGCAGCTCATCTCACCTTTTTCTCCTTCTTCTCGCTCTAATAATGAAGCTGAGAGCTGATCAGAGTTAACATTTCAGTGCAATTCTTTTAGGGTTTCATTGAAATGGAGTTCTCTTTGGATCAGTGTAAACGGTTTGTATTCATTGAAATGCACTTTCATTGTAATTCTGATTCCGACATAAATGAAAATAAAGAGTTACTTTGCTCTGCTTTTATCTTTAGGTCAGCTGCAGTCGCTTTTCTCGCATCTCCAGCAGGAAACATTTCTACAAAAAGTAGAACGGTGTCTTATAAACTCTCTTAACATTCAACTTTTTAGTGGTTGCTGGTTTCTCACTGATGATTAAACATGTCAGGAAACCAGCTGGAGTGCATATAAAGGCAAATTAGTCTATCTACTCATCTCTACAGTCTCGATGTTCGTCTTGAATCTTTCCCTTCTTTCGTTACCTACTAGCTAGGCGAGACTGTTGTCTGTGTTGCTATGGTGACCAGCAGTCTGTGCTGATCTTCAGGGTTAAAGGGTGAATTAGCAGTTCTACATTAACTCCAGAGTTTAAGACCATTTATTGTTAAACTGTGTTGAACGATCAGCAGAGCTTTATTTTACTGTAAAGGAGGATTATTTTATTTTTACCTACAAATCTAATTCAGCTGTGGAGCCACAACAGGGCAGTAACAGAGCCGCATGTTGCTGACCCCTGCTCAAGGCAAAGGCTATTTTCTTTGGGCCTAAAAACTTGACTGACGTGTGATTTGACGGTGGAAGTTCAGTGTTTCAGTCTGATCTGTACTGTGCTCTGTTTGTGTGTGTGTAGGTGCAGAGTGGGGGCTGCTGTTTCCCGAGGCTAACGGAGAGAACCAGTCCCCCATTAACCTGAACTCCAGAGAGGCCCAGTATGACCCCCGCCTGCTGGAGGTCGGCCTGAACCCCAACTATGTGGTCTGCAGGGACTGTGAGGTCATAAATGATGGACACACTGTCAGGATCATGCTCAAATCCAAATCAGGTACAAACGCGCTGTGCAGCAGTAGAATAGAATAGATAAGTAAATTCTTGCTCATGAGTTCATCTTCATGTTCTTAGGGAGTTTTGGAGTCTTGGTTCCTTTCCTCTGGTTCCACTACATCTCTTACTCACAGTCAGTGATGTATCTAGAACTCCATACAGAAAGGACCCTGGTCGCCTGGCCGGGGAATCGAACCCAGACCCTTCTTGCTTTTATACTTGCTTGTATACTGCATATACTGAATATTGTGCATGGTCTGTAAATTATTTGTACATTGTTTGCATATCGCATTTAGCACTAGAGAGACACCAACAGCTGGAATCAAATTCCTCGTGTGTGAAAGCTACTTGGTCAATAAATTTGATTCTGATTCTGATATAAATGAAAACGCAGACTTTCTTTGCTCTGCTTTAATCTTTAGGTCAGCTACAGCCACTTTTCTCGCATCTCCAGCAGGATACATCTCTTATTCACAGTCAGTGATGTATCTAGAACTTCCAAAAGAGTTTCAATGTGTGCTTTTAACAATAGTTTGGAAAAGAAAAATGGCAAATCATCATTTAAACCTGCTCTTCATACCAAGGGGGACACTTTGATGAATACATGAGTGAGTCCTGAGGATAAATATTCACAAAGGAGTAGCACAGATCTGCCTTATGAGCAAACATTATGGGTAAAATGTCATCAGAAGGCAAAGGCGGTGTGCACTTTGGGGGTCTGTGAGATGCCTTTGTTTACACTCGTCCTGCTCTCTTTCACTTTCTCCCGCTCCAGTGGTGACTGGCGGCCCCCTCCCGAGTGACCATGAGTACGAGCTGCATGAGGTGCGTTTCCACTGGGGCAAGGAGAACCAGCGGGGGTCCGAACACACCGTCAACTTCAAGGCCTTCCCCATGGAGGTCGGTCAGGCACTGTTCATTTTCTCAGCCTCGCTGTGTTTTAGGCCATGTTGACAGACTCTCTCAGTTGGCTGATAACTTAAAGCAATAGTTCAATGAAAAATCGAACTTTCTTCATTTCCACTCTTTGTCCAAATGTAGTCGGTCAGCTAAGACGTGGAAAAATTCTAAGAGATAAAAATAGGTTGTAAAATGGACATGTAACAACAGATTGTGACCGATTTGGTATGTAGATGTACTGAACTTGCCCTCTTCTCACGTGGACAGGCTGAATTTTGGGCTAAAGTTATCTGACTTACTGAGAAAATGCTTTGTGAAAAGCACTGCAGAGCTGAGCGCTATCTGAAGGTCAGTCAGCCAGTGTGTGTGAAAGATATAAACACTGAAGTTCCTGGAGGAAAACAGAGCACAATGCACTTTCTACAAAACCAAACCCAAACAACCTGCGGCTGAAAAGGATGTTTTCATACAGCAGATTTATCTCCTCTTTAACCCCCTGAACACTCAAGGTCTGTGTGGGAGTCCACGCTTCAGTTCCTCACACACACAACTTACACAGTTTCATATTAGATACTGAATAATTCACAGTAGATACTGAATAATTTATAGTAGATACTTAATAATTCATAATAGTTACTGAATAATTCATAGTAGATACTGAATAATTAAAAGTAGATCTGAATAATTTATAGTAGATACTGAATAATTAATAGTAGTTACTGAATAATTCATAGTAGATACTGAATAATTTATAGTAGATACTTAATAATTCATAGTAGGTACTAAATAATTTATAGTAGTTACTGAATAATTAATAGTAGTTACTGAATAATTCATTGCATAAAATGAATAATTCATATTAGACACTGAATTATTCACAGTAGATACTGAATAACTCATAGTAGGTACTTAAGATAGGATAAGATAAGATAAGATAATCCTTTATTAATCCCACAACGGGGAAATTTGCGGTGTTACAGCAGCACAGAAGACAGAGCAGCAGGAAATATACAAACAATATATAAAATAGAATAAACAATAAAAATATAAAGATATATGTATATATCTTAATAATTTATAATTTAAATTTTTTAAAATTTTTAATTTAAGAATATAAAGATATATGTATATTACTTAATAATTTATGGTACTTACCAATGAATTTATAATAGTTACTGAATAATTAATAGTAGTTACTGAATAATTCATAGCAGATACTGAATAATTTATAGTAGTTATTGAATAATTTATAGTAGATACTGAATAATCCCTTGATACTTCCTGAATGATTTATAATAGATACAGAAGAAGAATGTAGACTGATGTCTTCACACAGTATCTGAGCTTCTATTCGTGCAGGTAATGCTGGTTTGTGTTGGTCTGTGATTTTACACATCCCTGTGTTAATTTAACCATCTGAGGTCACATGTTTGTGTGACATGACCTCATTGATGGTCCTCAGTGACCAGTGAAAGATACCTGGCACTGAAGGCTGCACAGTGGCAGAGGAAACAATAACAGTGGCTCTTTAAACAGTGCTGAGGGCTCTATTTCAAAGCCCTGAGTACACACCTGTCCCCTGCACCTGCTCTCTCTCTCACACACACACACACCTGCTGCTGTCTGCTCCAGCCTGGCAGGAAGACAAGAGCCTCACAGTGCATCACCTGCTGACGCAGACCTTTCCACTCTCACAGAGAAAGACTGAGGTTTACTGGAAAACAATGGAACTTCACACAACAGTTAGCTCCGCCCACACAATCTGACTGGTTGAAAAGTGACAGTAATGGTCTCTTTACGATGCTGGAACTACTTTTTTGGTGGAAGAAAGTGAAAATGACAAAAACATATTTCAAACAGTGTTTGGTTTCCTTTCCTTTGCTAAACGGTTGTATAAAAGCATAGGACAGAACAGGGGTTCCAATAAAAGCACAAGTTGAGTGTTTCTAATAAAGTGGCCAGTTAATGGAAGTACAAGGTGGGTGTGGCCATTTAGTGGAAGTCTGAGGTAGGTGTTTCTAATAAAGTGGCCAGTTAGTTGAAGTACAAGGTAGATGTTTCTAATAAAGTGGCCATTTAGTGGAAGCGCAAGGTAGGTGTTTCTAATAAAGTGGCCAGTTAGTGGAAGCACAAGGTAGGTGTTTCTAATAAAGTGGCCAGTTAGTGGAACCACAAGATAGGTGTTTCTAATAAAGTGGCCATTTAGCGGAAGCACAAGGTGGGTGTTTCTAATAAAGTGGCCAGTGAGTGGAAGTACAAGGTATGTGTTTCTAATAAACTGGCCAGTTAGTGGAAGCACAAGGTAGGAGCTTCTATAGGTGAGGAATTCAAATTTAATTATAAAATATATATTAATAATAAATACATAGAAATAATGCTTAACTTCAGATTTACACTGCAGTCAAAGCGTTTCAGGATGACGTCTACTGTAAAACTTCTAAAATGTCCCCTTTGTGTGTCGTTGTGGTGGGTTCCTCAGTAAGACTTGCGTTGTGTTTTGTAGCTGCATCTGATTCACTGGAACAGTACGCTGTTTAACAGTGTGGAGGAAGCCATGGGGAAGAGGAACGGCATCCTCATCATCGCTCTCTTCGTACAGGTACGCTCAGTGGGTTTTCAACAGCAACATTACCACATATAGATGCTATGAATGTCTTATGTCACTGTGACGTAAAGGGGAATTTCACCCATTTTTCAAAAATTATTTTAGGCCAAAATCTTCTCAAAACTATCCTAAAACAGTGTCTCAGTCATCAGGCAGTGAATTCATAACCACTTCATGTAGTAACTTTCTGTGAGGGAGCTTTTCGAGGTGGACGTCTGGTTCCTATCACCACCACTGTGAACAGTTCTGACTCGGTAAGTTTCTCTAGAACAGAGCGTTTCACACCAAACCACTCTGAATGACTCTGTTTACATCTTACTGTTTAATTATGTAGAATTTTTTTAAAAATTGGTGGAGTTCCCCTTTAATGTCCATTGTTCATTGTGAAGATCACATAATTAACCTACTTTGCATGGCAGTGACCATTAATGTCATTAGAAAGCCTTTTACCTCTGAACCTTACAGGAGAAGAAATAAACGTTCTTAACTTTAATCTACGTCAGTGAAACGAGATTTTATTCCAAGTCAGTCTGAACCATTTCTGTCGGCCCATTAATCACAAAATGTTCAAATGATGCTAAATGTGTTGACTGTGCTGCTGTGCTGTATGTGCAGGTTGGGAAGGAACATCTGGGGCTGAAGGCTATTACAGATGTGCTGCAGGATCTGCAATACAAAGTGAGAAATATACAACACAGTTTAGGCCACATACAGCAAAACGAAATCAATAAACAAACAAATACCGGCTCGCTTAGTACAGACATACTGTTTAACCCATTAATGGCCATGTCTGATGTGTTAAAAGTCATTTGGTCTGTATGTTCTCTGAGCTCTGAGCACAAATCTGAAGATATGTTTGACACTGATCAAATCGTGGCTGAAAAAGTAAAAGTTTATCACCTAATTAATCATTAAATTCAGTCTTTTGGTCACATATTGGAGGCTTTTTACAAAAAACAGTAAAAATCCAAAAGTGATTGTGATTAAAAGCATGAAAATGTGACCTAATGTAAAGAAAAACTATTTCAAAGTATAACTTTACAAAATTTCACCACCTTAAACAAATCTGAACAAGTTTTTTGTATCATGCTAAATGTAGTTGGACATTTAAGGGTTAATAGGAACTTTGGAAAAAAAAATCCACCCACCATAAAAAGATAAACATAGTTACTCAAAGAAAATTGTTACTGTGAATTATTACAGTTGTTGTAATGTAATTAATTTGTTTAACTTATTTGTATTATTGAAAATTTGCATAATTTGGTTAAGTGCACTGTGAGCTTTCGGTGGCTTTCTTTTTAATAAATAACGTTTTGTCGTTACAGGGAAAGACAAAAATAATACCGTGTTTCAATCCTAACACGTTACTCCCTGGTAAGTTTTCCCGATATTTTAATTCATCGTGAGATTTTTTAATGACGTTTTAACTTAAAGCTGCACTATGTAAGATTTTTTAAGTTAAAGCTGAAAGAAGTGTCATTACTGATTATGGAGAGAAAAGAACACACTAAAATATGCTGAGTGTGTGCTGCTGCGAGTCACCCTGTAAAGCCTGAAAGGCATCGGATCGAGGATTTTTCACACCACGACAGGCGTCTTTACATATTAACGTCACACACAGACTCAAAAAGAAGGTCCGGCTCGATGTTTCGGCCTCAGATGATCTCAAAATCAACATCATACTGATGAAGATGTGATGACAATAGTAAATAATTCACTCACGTCCAAAATGTTCTTCTACACGTTGCATGCAGTTACACATTTCCAAGGGCGTAGGCTTGATTTTGACATTGATGGGGACCTAAAAGCAGTCTGCAGGTGGCATAGCGGTACACAGTGTTTTAGAAATACCCAGGTCCAAAAAACTGAACTTGCCAGGGGGGTTTGGGGGCATGCCGTGTTTCATTATCATCTGTGTTAGTGAAGAAGCTAAACACAGGGTCAATTGATATTTATGTGCAGATTCTACCAGCCTCTACTAGGATAATCTTGCAATGAAAATAAAAATATATAAGGGTACCTCATTTTAATATGCATTTTAACCCTTTACACAAACTGAATTGAAAGAAAAGAATTTTAATTTTCGTTGACAGTTCATCAGCCTGACATTAGATGGACGGAATTGATGTTACCTGCAGACTAGTTAATTCACTCAAGTGAAACTGACTGGCCAGCATCATGAAAGCTCACTAGGAATGTGGACACACCTGATATCTGGGGATAAACAGCACTGAGCTATGCAGTCTGCCTGTATCAAGTTTCCGCAGATTCAGCTGCCTGTCGGGTTTGTTAACATAATCAAAGAACCACCATGTTGAGTAAAGGTTCTGTAGTAACGACAAGAAGATCCTTCACTGCACCCATGGTAAAGCAATGTTGCCAGTGATCAGATGCGAAAGTCAGTTATCTTGGCGTTATACAATATCTTTGCAATTATTTCACGATTTTTATTGTTTATATAAGTCGGAAAAAATGACGAGGTCCAGAACGCGGTGACCTCAGTGGTGGGTACAGCCATGCCTACATGCACATCTAGTTGATGGAGCTTTGATGCTTCTTAAAACCAGATGTATCTACAGCCTCTCACATATTAGCAAGAAACAGCAAAGCCAATCCTGTTAACGATAGTGAGTCAGGGAGGCAGGACTCGTAGTAGAGACAAGATCTGTTTCTGTACCATATATATAGACTAGACACCAACAGACTGTTATATTTTAATTTTTTTGATCAATATTATTACTAGAGACAATTCATTTGTCGCTGGATATTGGTGGGTCTTACACAGTGCAGCTTTAATAAAGTATGTAACCGGGTGGCCTTAAAATTTTGACTGAACAGAATGTAAGTTTTTTATTCTGTTAACTTACTATCAGAAGTTCAATTAACTTAAAGTTTTAAGCCAGTCCAGTAACTTACTTTTTAAAGGTGCAGTGTTTAAGATTTAGTGGCATCTAGTGGTCAGGTTGCAGATCGCAACCACCTGAATCCCACTCCCTCACCCCTCCCTTTCCAAGCGTGTAGTAGAACCTACGGTGGCCGTCAGGTTTTCTGCTGTCGTCTGTCCCCATTTTGTTTTGGTTCTTTATATTTTTGCTTCTTTGATGGTGATGATTCACCCTCCTTCACCTTTTTCGTGTTAATAATAATATGTTTGATCCTCTATTTGTCAAAATGTGGGTTCTCAAACTTCTCAAACTCACAACACTTAATGGTCAGTCAGCACCGGCAGCATCTACTGATTCTTCTTCTTTCAACGTCCAACCTGAGCTACAGCGCCACTAAATTCAAGCTGCCGTTTTATTGCAGTTGTATTTATTTTACTGTCTTTACTGTTTTCTCTCAGACTGTATCTGTTTCTCCATTTCTTTAGATCCGTTATTAAGAGATTACTGGGTGTATGAAGGCTCTTTAACTACACCTCCCTGCAGCGAGAACGTCATATGGATCCTCTACCGCTACCCTCTCACCATCTCTCAGATGCAGGTAAACCTTTTTTATGAATTTTGTGTGAAAACAGTCTAAATATTTTATTTTGGCCAAACAATTGAGGACATACTTTAATGAATGTTATTATAATCAATTATTTTTTGTGATCAATTTTTAATTTTATTTCTGTAAATCCAGCAGCTCTTTATCACACTATTACAGAACCTGAAAACAGACCAGAAACAACCCCCTCCCCCATCCCGCTGGTCCATTCATCTCCTTTTTCTATACATACATTTCTAACAATAAATTAGACAATTGATAAATAGATTTTGAAGAATAGAATGAGATAAAATAAAAAAATTAAAGAAAGATGCTGGCTTATACAATATGCATCATATCATTTTCTCCAATCTTTTGATCACATCAAAACAAATCTGTCTCTTTATTATAATTCAATTATAATTTATTCTAACATTCCAAAACAGATGCTGTTGAATCACCATCTTCAGTTCAATACATTTTTACCCCTCTATTTACTACCATTTACTTTTTAAAACTTATTTCAACACTTCGTGATTGGATTTGATCTGGTCAGTGCCTTACTATTGATAAAGGGCTACAGCAGGCCTTTATCAATATATCGCAACCCAAATGTTAAGAAGAGCCATTTTGTTCTTTCAACAAAAATCAAACCACCTGAGCCACAACAGTTTATATCCATTTTACCATCTTGGCTGTAAATATGTCTCAGTATGTGCTAATTTACTAGTAAAGGCTAAAAAATGTAAATGAAAACACAGACTTACTCTGCTCTGCTTTAAGCTTTAGCTCAGCTACAGCCGCTTTTCTTGCATCTCCAGCAGGAAACGTTTCCTCAAAAGTAGAACAGTTTCTTGTAAAATGTCTCTTAATGTTTGACTGTTTGTGAGGCTGAAGTTGCTTCTCATTCGCCAGCCTCTTTTCGAATTTTCCCGTTCCACCTTAAATGGTGCCTGAGGTGCCAGAGTGGAACTGCTGCACAATTTAAGGTTGAACGGGAAAATTCGAACAAGAGGCTGGCGGCTGACTTCAGCTCTCACTGCAGATTAAACACATCAGGAAACCAACTGGAGTGATTATAAATGTGAATAAGTCCATTCATCTCCAAATTATTGATGTTCATCTTAAATCTCTCTCTTTGCCGTTTCGTTAGCTACTAGCTAGGCGAGACTGTTGTCTGTGTTGCTATGGTGACCAGCAGTCTGCGCGCCAACCTTCAAGGTCAAAGGGTGAATTAGCAGTTCTACATTAACTCCAGAGTTTAAGACCATTTACTGTTAAACTGTGTTGAATGATCAGCAGAGCTTTATTTTACTGTAAAGGAGGATTATTTTATTTTTACCTACAAATCTGATTCTGCTGTGGAGCCACAACAGGACAGTAACAGAGCCGCATGTTGCCAACCTCTGGCCTATAGGATCACTAAAATCAATTGTGCATTAAAGGGCCCATATCATGGGAAACTGATTTTGCCCACTTTTTTAAATTAAAGATGTGTCCATGTGTGGAAACTAATCTACAAAAACAGCTTGTTTGGAATTCAGTGTTTTTGTGATGTCACAGAAGCCAACATTTGTACATATATCCACCTATTTGGCTTATAGCAGGTTAACCCCAGTCACTCACGCTGATGTTATAAGAAGTGTTACAGCCTAGACTGCTTTTGGAGTTCATAGTTTTGTGATGTCACAAAAGCCAACATTTGCATTTAGTAGTTTTTTGGTTTTTTTTAGTATATAGTAGTTCTTTTAGGTTAATTATAGAGTGCCTTTCGAATCAGGACCTGAGCAGAACAGGGCTCATTTTCACATTTCAGTCTTAAAGGCACAGTAAGAAAACATTTTAGTTGTGAGGGGGGAAAATGAAGGATATGAGCCCTTTAATAGATGGGCTACACTCTCTATGGATGTATTGTCTGATGACTTTATTTTGAACATACTTTATAGTATTTTTCCACATGTTAAGCTGCTGTACTGTGTGGAAATCATTTGACCTATGAAAAAGCATAAGAGTCAGCGTCCCCTGTCAACAAACTTCTAAAGGATTTTTGATCATTTCTGCTGAATATTGATCCTTCAGGCAAAGGGCACACTTTAAAGCAGGCCTAGCAGACTTTGATGATCCTGTATATCTGATTTTTACTCACAGATTTGTGCCGCAGCTGCTGAAACCCAGTCTTACCTTACAGACAGAACTGTCAGTCTGATAGTGAAGCTCTGTATCTGATACCAACCTGTAATCTCACACAGCTTCATGAGTCAGTGCGTAATCAGCACATTCTTCTTGGAACTGTATAACATCTGCATACAGTAAGCAATCTGAAGATAAGTCATCAGTGTTTAACCCTTCAGCATCTCTCATGGCCTGTATGCCTTAAAATCCCTGTATTTGAATATTTTTAATTATCTCTGACTGTAGATCATTAAAAGTGGAGAAATTATGTGCCTTTAAGACTGATGTAAATGATCTCTGTTCTGATTGGCTGCCCTGTTTCATTAAAAAACAATATGGGCTGAAATGCTCAATGAACTCTTTCACTATTATGAGCCCTTTAATGCGTGTTATACATGCATTCGTGAAGATGATGAGTTTTGTGTAAGATGTTTTCATTTGTGCTGCAGATTGAAGAGTTTCGGAGGCTCAGGTCACATGTTAAAGGGGCGGAGCTTTCTGAAGGTAATGATGGGATGCTAGGGGACAACTTCCGCCCAACACAGCCCCTCAGTGACCGGGTGGTCAGGGCAGCTTTCCAGTAGACCCCCAACACCAGGACCCACCATTATCCTCCAACGGTAAATTTGTGTGACAGTAGTACTTAAAGTGATATTTTAGCAAAGAGTCTAATTTACACACTTTATTAACGCCTACCTTGTGCTTTCACTCACTGGCCACTTTATTAGAAACACCTACCTTGTGCTTCCACTAACTGGCCACTTTATTAGAAACACCTACCTTGTACTTCTACTCACTGGCCACTTTATTAGAAACACTTACTTGGTGCTTCCACTTACTGGCCACTTTATTGGAAACATCTACCTTGTACTTCCACTCACTGGCCACTTTATTAGAAACACCTACGTTGTGTTTCCACTCACTGGCCACTTTATTAGAAACACCTACGTTGTGTTTCCACTCACTGGCCACTTTATTAGAAACATCTACCTTGTGCTTTCACTCACTGGCCACTTTATTAGAAACACCTGCCTTGTGCTTCCACTCACTGGCCACTTTATTAGAAACACCTACCTTATGCTTCCATTCATTGGCCACTTTATTAGAAACACAGATTTTATTTGGGTCCATTTTTTAGCACAGCAGTGACACTGACATGGCAGAGCGTGGGACGCTGGTATGAGTGTGGGTCCACCACCCAAAAATATCCAGCCAAAAGCAGCTCAGTGGTCAGAAACTGAGCAAAAGGTGGTTTCCAAAAGGTGGCAATTGACAGTATGTCTCAGGTGGATGCATGACCTTCAGGTCAGAAGTCTCACTCTGATCATCTATTAATAATATAATTCAAGTGAAAACGGGCCACATGCTCCCAGTGGTCTTTGGCACCTCTAAACAATGGCACGCTGGGGGGGGGGCGGATAACCCAGTTCACTCTAATCTAGGACTAGCTACGGTATTGTGTGGAGAACTGTCTATTTTAGTTCTCCCTGGGGGCACCTGGGTGCACTCATTACTCATCCTGAAATGAGGCTGTAAGAGAGCCTGATTTAGGCCACAGTGATGCAGTGCTATAACTGCAACCCAAGCATTTGGGGTAAGGGAGGACCTGTGTAATGCTTTTAATACAAATGTACATGTTTTCTTTAAGCAATAGAGGTGGAGGTGGTATATTTGATTAGGTCTCAGTAGATCGAAGTCATGATTTAAAGAAAAAATCTTTCATCAACAACACGGGAAACACTTCTCAACCAGCCAGACTGTGTGGGTGGAGCTAATTGCAGAATACTTGTTGATTTACTGACCACATTAAAGTGTAATCTAAAGGTTTATTTAGAGGAAAACAGTGTCACACGTCCTAATATTTGTACCAATACTAGAGACAGTATTAATGCTGTTAGGGAATAAAGTCAAAGGTCATGCCCACTTTTAGTGAGATAGAACCATCGCTCTTTTTTTGGCTGTACTAGATTAAACACACATTTAAAGCTTGTAACAGACATTATCATATATCTGAGCTTGTGTGTATCAGTTTTACAGTGACTCTGTCAGTAAAGAGTTCTGGCATAGAGCTGCCGCCACTGTTTCCCATTCCTAACAACTACCTGGAACCTGCTTAAGCTGCTTTCACATTAAACACTACATGCACTGCGCTCGCAACTCATGTTTGCAGCAAACTGCTTTTACACCGCTCGCAGTATGAGATTGGGCACAAAAGCGGGCCAGTAGGGCAGCGCTCTCTGATTAAACTAGCCTTTTGGGTAGCGACAAGAACTACCAGACATGCCTACTGTTCTCCTATTGGCCTTGCTGAGACTCGGCTGATGCATGTTGCGCGGAAATTGACAACATTTGAACCCTATTTAAGTGCCCAGCCTGCGCCACCGGCCGCCAGCAGACAGTGACGGCGGCAAGGTGCTATATGTTCAGGGAACTCCAATTCCCAGAAGCCCTTGGGCTGATTAGGCCCAACCTGGCACACCTGTGGACTCCTCTACTTAAGGCTGTGGCAAACAGCAGCGCTTTGTCACACCTTTGTAGAGGGGTGACCGGTACGATACGTAGACCAGATGGGTATTTAAACAAAAAGACAAGAAAACGAAAGGAAAAAGAAAAGGAAAGAAAAGAAAAATAAAGAAAAGAAAAGAGGGCTGGAAAAAACAAAAGAGAGAAATTGCCCCAAAACTACTTAAAACCCAAAAGACAGCTTGAGCAGCGAATGACTCCAAGGCATACAAAAGGTGTTTGCTCCACAAAGAGCAAACAGGTGAAACATAAAGCTGATCTTCCTCTCATAATCACAGAGGAAGTGTTTTTTGTTTTCTGATTATCTTTTATTTCACTTTTCTAGTTCAGCCTTTGTTTAAGCACGTCCCCTTTGTTTGCCGTTTTCCTGCCCTTTCATTCATTGAGGTGATTTTCCTGCTGTTGCCAGTGCCTCCCAGTGGCGCAGCAGTAACTCCTTGGACCTCCAGTAAGTACAGTAGCGGTTCGAGCCTGTCTCTGAGCCCCCTCAACTCCGATGTGCACGCTCACCAAATTCATACTCAGTCAATTCATTTAAGACACTTTCTCACAGGTTTTCCTCTCTGCGCTTGAGTCCGCCTCCCTGCCGTCCCGTAACACAAGTGCATCTGCCAAAATAATGTTGTCCAAAAGCACAGCGGTGAATTTTCCCCATTCTGTGTGGAAGCAGCTTTGGACTATGGCTTGCATTCACAGCCAGTGACGTATCTAGAACATCAGTGACGTGTCTAGAACTGCCAGAAGGACTAGAGTGATGTTGTTAAATTATGTTTTCTCACAAAATTGGTCCCATTGTACATCAAAACATGATTGGTTGACTTCCTAATTATGCTAGTAGTCAATCTAGCATATAAGGCCTTCGATCCAGCTCCTGAAGTCCTGACCAATGGGAGAGCTCGCTTGGCTGTATCTACCTAGATACCACAGAGAAAACAATCCTGACTGGACATTTTTAGTTTTCAAGACTTTAGCCTGTTTGTTTCAAACCAAAAAAAGTATTATGACAATACTTACACAGTTAAAGCTTAATAAGCATGATGATTCTATTACTGAGTGTATTTATTTAGTTCCTAGATATCATTAGACCGTCTCTGACGACCGAGAAGGCCCTGAAGGTTCCCCCATGAGAAAGAAAGGTGTCCTCAAACTTATGTGCATTGATGTAAATTAGATTTTACTCTTAAAGTAATGATGAATAATTTCTATTCATCCATTTGTCATGAATTATTTCTATAATATGACTGTTAAAACTGTTAAACAGTAAAAAGTTTAATGTCACAGCAATGAAATGCAGCGTAATGTAATACAGTTCAGCATCCTGGAAATGGCCTGATAAGTGAAGGTCAGTGCAGGTTCTCCTAAATATGACGCTTCTGCTGGGAAATATGAGCTGACCTTTTGCCCGAAGCCAAATCAGGAGTTCCTGAAACGGAGCCACGGCCGCCTCGTAACTAGCACCGAGTTCACAGGTGGAGAGGATGATGTACGTGCATTTAGATTTGGTCAGAGGATCCTTTACAGTCATAATACTGTCACATCACTCACTACAGCTGCGCACAGCTAAAGTGGAGCTAATAAACCTTCTCTCAGCACTTACTGAGAGAGTTTCTCCACTAAGTCCAGGTTCAGTAGCCTATTTCACCGGCTTGAGCGACACAGGCCAGGAAACAACACAGCTGGCTGTAATGTAATGAGTTGATTTGCATATTATGTGGCTAAACGGCTAAAACCCCCTTAGTGTCACTGAATCCTCTGAATTATGAGGTCGTTAACAGTGAAAATGCTATATGCTAAGCTAAGCTAAAGCTCCTGCACATGTTAACAGTCAAAATGCCACATAAATGCTAAGCTAAGCTAAAACTCCTGAACACGTTAACAGTGAAAATGCTACCTATTTGCTAAGATAAGCTAACGCTTCTGCACACGTTAACAGTCACAATGGTACATCTATGCTAAGCTATGCTAACGCTGCTGCATATGTTAACAGTCACAATGGTACATCTATGCTAAGCTATGCTAACACTCCTGCATACTGAAATGACTGGGGCTGAATGGATACAAACCACACTACCACACTAAAGAGCATCTCAAAACTAGTACACCAGTCCTTTCATTCATTTTGTATGTATAGTACAGTAGAATGCGGTTTTGGATGCAGTTACAAACAGTTGTACTCTGTAGGTGGAGCCTTATTTTAGCCACGCCCCTGCATTTTAGAGCAGGAGGTGAGGCTGCCAGGCTGTGAGCACTTAGATCCTATTGTTTTGAAGTAAATATGTCACAAAGTCTGAAAATCAGTGTGGAACATTAAGAATCATCATTATTTCTGTAGTTAAGTAACTTTTTTTGTGTTTTAATTAAAATATGGTGATTTCCGTGTGTACATCTGTTCAAAGCTGTGTTTGCTGGTCATGTTCTGAGTTTTTGAGCTCAAAATGAGCAAAAATTGTCACCACCGAAACAGTCACTGCTGAAACATCTGGTAAAGTGTGTGTAGAGTTATTATTGTTTTGGTAGTGATAAAAGTGAATGTTCAACCATTAGTTTTAATAAAATAAACATAATTAAGTTTTAGAGTCACTTAAAGCCAAAAGATTTTAGTCTAAAGTTCAAAATCAGTTAAATCCCAAATGTGTTTCAGCTCTGACTTTGAACCAGTTCAGTAGATTTCAGTATATGTGTCTATATGTATTAAACTTTTTTAAAACTTAATCCTAAATCGAACTCTTAGGAACTAAAAGCAGGTGGTTTCACTCTTTCAGTTTGTAAAAAGCACTTTTAGACACTTCCTCCTCCTCGCTGAGTGCCTGGTCAGTCTGAGGGACGAACGCAGGCACAGAGAGATATTGTGTGGGTGTAATGGATATGTAATGGTCCTGTGGTCAGATCAGAGAGGGTGAGCGGGGGGTGCAAGGGGTGGGGAGGATATAGCTGGGTGTGTATTAGAGTTAATACAGCGCAGACTCCTCAGCTCAGCAGATGCAGGTATTTCTCCTGCTGTTCAGAGGAGAAAATCCAGCCCTGTGAATGTAACTCTACACTCTGTAACACTCCACACACAAACACACCTCCCTCAGTCAAACCCACAGGCTGTGTT